GTTCAGTTAACAAACCTGGATAAGATGTAAAGTAGGTGGCACTATCCTTGCTGAAATTGAAAAGACTGATTTGGGTCTAAATCCTAGTCAGTCCCCAGTCCCATTCCTCTGGCATTTGGTTATAACCTTACATAGGACAATCCAATAGTTCAATTTTATTTCTATAATAGCAATAGAGAAAAAACAGTGGTAAGGAGGAACTTCCAGAATTTAAGAGATCCAGGATGGGACCTAAATTCTTTCCTTTCTGTGTAACGTTGGGAAAGCCCTTTTCTTCTCAAAGCTTTGTTTCCTCACCTTAAAAGTGGGAATTATGCCACCACCTACCTCATAGGACTGTGAGAATTAAATACATTCTAACATGAAGAGCCTGAGTCAGAAAATGTTTCCTCTTATTAGCTCATAATTCTTTAAACAGAGATTGCTGATGAGTAAAAAGTAATGCAGTAATACCCTCCACAGTTCTGTTTCCTCCTATTCCATCTGTAATCAGCTTTGGGGAAATCCTCACAGAGGCCTTGGCCCTCAGCTCTTGCTTCTGGTCTGCACCCTGAAGTCCTCCCTTCCCAGCAGAGGGAGGTGGGTGAGGCCAGCGCTCCAGAACCTTGGACAGCTCCACTTCCCGGCGATCCAGCCGGCTGTCTCAGGGAGCAGGAGAGTGTTGGGAAATTGTTGGAGAAAGGCTGCATTAGTGCAACGATTTAGGAAGTCCAGGGGCTGCAGTCTCATTTTGCCACTTACATACCAAATCTTAGGGCCTTTTCTTTCTTTCCTATGAACCAAATCTTAGGGCCTTTTCCTTCTTTCCTATGAACTCAAAGAATTGTTTTGAGCCCAAAAAGAACAGAACCACCACCCACATCTTCCTGAATCTGCTGATATTTAATTTGTTTGGCTTCAGTACAAGAATTAAACATTCTTGATTAACTTCAAGTGAAAGTAATAATGTATGAGCATGAGAAAACGTTTTACAAGATGACGATTCAGGTTGAATTAAAAGAAACGTAAAATAATGATATTGCCTGCAGGTGATGTTAAGCACCATTCTGATCAGGATAAGCAGGTGGTTCAATTTATGAGGTAATTTAGCTTTTCACTCTCCGATGCAGAGCACAACACACCATATGCAGTCACCTTTCAAACAGGCAAGGAAGAGATTAAGTCCTATTTTTACTTTATGATACTGAGTCATGTAGTTCAATGCAAATCACATGGATGCCAAAGTAAGAACAATACCAGGTATTAAAATACCTTCTTTCCTTTGGGGAGCTCTAAAGATTTTGTGACTGCATGAAATTCCTTCAGAGTAACTCCAGGAGAAGAGACACATGTCACCAGATAGGCATTTAGGGCTGAACATGTCTCATCTCTCTCCCCCACTTCTGTCATTAGGCCTGGAAGAGCTGTATTTGCAGCTTTTTGCATTTAGTAATAGCCTCCAGATGTCGTCATTTTCTGGGCTACACTGTTTTTGAGGAAAAGAGGGCTTGTCTTTGAAAAATGTTATTGACTAATAATGAGGGAGAGAAGAGGATAAATGTGGAACAGGAAAGAAGGAGAAGAGAGTAGTAGAGGTAGAGGAAGAGACAGGATATGCCTAAACTTGTCTGACTTTTATGAGGTTCTGACCAGTTGAAGATGGGCTTCAAACCCATTTATGAGGACAATGCATGAAAACACTTATCAAGGTTTTTCATGCATTGTCCTCATAAATGGGTTTGAAGCCCATCTTCAACTGGTCAGAAACTTGAACAAAGGCTTTCAAGCCCTCTTTAAACATTTCCATAGAGGTGAAGACAGAAGCAATTCCATGGCTTGAACTAGCTTGAAAGAACTTCAGACAAGGACATCAACTCAAGACTCTAAAGGTAGGAGGGAGCTCCCCAATAGAAAGGTTTGTGATTTTACCTAAAAATGCTCACACCCACTCTAAGCCTCCACACCATGGGGGAATGTTAGTTGTCAGATTGTGTCTAGTATAACTTCTTCCCAGCAGAGGTCGCTGTGGAGACTGGCAGTGGATACTTGTGAGAACTGGACCAGGCAGGCTGGGCTAGATAGATGGTGGCTACACTGTGTGGTAGCTACTCTTCCTGCTGTACCACTGGCCATCATCTGGCCTCTCATCCTAAAGGAAGTAGCTCTCTGTGAAGATTATCTCAAAGCTGCACAGTACACAGTACCTTTGCTATACAAGTGCTGTGAAATCGGAGTCACTTGTTGGGGAGGGCAGGCCTGGGAGGGCCATGCTCTTCCTCTAGGGGTATCACCTTGTAGCATATGTCTGTGTTACCCTTGTGTCCTCTGAGTGTACCTGGTATTTCTGAGATGCCACCTGTGACTGACCAGCAACATCAGCGCCATGCCCTTCCAGACATGGAGGCCAAAGTGACAAAAGTTGCCTTGTACACAGCCTTGCACCCATATCATAAGTGACTCCGTTGATGAGTTCCCTGCCAAACCTCACTTGGAAGCACATGTTGGTGGTGTGGGGGTGGAATTCTGGTCCTTGGGGCAGCCCATTACAGTAGGATAAAGCTTCTTAGAAATGGGAAGGGCAGGGCACTGGTGAGTATGTTAGGGTCAGACCTGAGACCTCAGAAGGGCTGAAGAAGGCTCCTCATACTTGTGAATTCCCCATTTACTGGGACTTAGGCAGGCCAGGCAGCCTAGGCACAAAGCAGCCTGAAGCTGCTTTAAACTCTGAGGGAAGCCACTTGAACCCTAGGTCATTACTGTGGCTTGAGAGTTGAAGATGTGACTACCCTGCTCCCCACCCCCACAACGTCCAAGTCCAGCAGTAATTAAGTGGTTCCCCTACACACACACACACACACACACACACACACACACACACACAGCCAGAAACACAAGCTCTGGCCATGCCACACACATGAACACTGAAGCACACATGGTACATTCACCCAGTCACACACATTCACGCCCACACTCTGACCCACACCATCATCCATGCAAACACTTAAAGACATCCCGCCCCAGAACCAAATTTTACCTAACGTGGCTGATTCGGCATGAGAGGGTCTACTCAGGATGTCCCTCCAGACCCTGGTCTACTCACGCCCCCTGAACCCCAGGCCCTTCACTTAAGGTGGAGCCCCCACCTGTCCCTGTCCTCGTGGTCACAGGTCCTGAAGGCCCCCCCACCCACCCCCGAAGGGGTCCTGGTCACCATCGTGTGTACAGAATCCTGGGTACCTGGCTGGCCTTGGGGTAGGGGGTATGGGAAAACAGAAAGATGTGGAGGCATAGTGCCCTGCCCCGGCTAAGCCGCCTCCTCCCTCGGGATTTTCCATCCCGCTAGGAGACGGTGCGCTTTGTCTCCCGCCCAGCTCCTGGCACGTTTCCGTGGAAGCTGCGGGCGCCGCGCCCGAAGCCCCCCCATCCGCAGCCGCGCCCCCCGCCCAGCCCGCGGCGCAGGCCTGCCAGTGCGGCAACCGCCGCTTTGTCCTCTCGAGGATGCCTGGGCGGAGCGCGAAAGCCCAGTGCCTGCGAACAGCCACCGCGCGTCCTGGATGCAGGTCCCCAAGGCTCGGTTTGGGGCGCGCGCTGCATCGGAGCGAAGCAGCCCCTAAAGATTCGCGAGTGCGAGGTTGAGGGTAGCGCCTGCCTGGAAATCTAGAGTGCTGGAGGAGAGACCCGCCCCGTCCCGCCCTGCACGTGCCCGTCTAGGGTTGGCCCCCAGCTGCAGCACCGAGCCTCGGTCCCCGGGGCGTGGTGGGCTAGGGAGGACTGTCTCGACTTAGAGCCCCAGGCCTGGATCCAGGTAGGGAGGACCTGGGAGATAAGGCCCGGGTGGCGAAAGGTGGGAGGGGTCTCTCGGCCCCTCGTGCATCTACCCACACCACCTCCCACACCCAGGCCACCCCAACCCTAGGCGCGGGCCCAAGCGCGGGGGATTCCGCGTGTCAGTGCTTTCCTACACTCGCGACTCTGAGCAGATAGGGAGCGGGTCTCCCGGCCTTTCCCTGCCACATCCCAATTCCACCCCCGACCAATAACCTAGGAGGGTCCAAGTGGGAGGGGTAAGAGTCCTCTGTCTCATCCACAACCTAGATCCTCCTCTTTACAAAACCCTAGGGCCTGGACAGGAGGGGTCCTGGGGAGGAGGGCGATTGTGGAGGAAGGGGGCCGGGGAAGGGTCTTCCCTCCATTCCAAGCAGCCCTTCCTTAATAACCCTGGGAGGGTCTGGGCTGGGGGAGCGGTCAGCGGTCTCATCCATCACCATCAGACTCCTTTGTAACCTCGAGCAGCCGAAGTGTTGCGGGGAGGGGTCCCCCTGCCTCCAGTCCCCTCATCCCTTAACACCCCCTCCCGTCCTCAGTAATCCGAGCAGCCCGGTCGCCAGGCACAGAGGGAGGGAGGGTCCAAGCCTCCTCGCTCTCCCAGGAGAGATGGGGTGGGGGTGTCCCCCAGCCCTCGCCCCTCATACTCAAGAGCCTTCTCCATGATAAAACAAAAACTAACCCAAGCTGCTCCGACCTCCAGCGCCGGGCCAAGGGAGGCCCCGAGTCAGTCGGCGGTTGTCCCGGACCCACGGTCCTGAGTAGCGAGAACACATCCCGTCAACTCCCCGAGCCCCTCACACCTTGGTTCGCCCCCTCCCCAAGAAAACAAAAGCGAATGCAGCAGCACCAACCTCTGAAGGCGGGCGGGAGGGCGGTCAGCGTCCGGCAGCGCACCCTGCTCCTCCCGGCTCCTCGCAGCCCGGGCTACCGGCCTCGGATCTGAAGCGGCTGCAGCTGCCGCGGCTCTCGCGACTCTCGCGTCCGGAGCCTCCCTCAGACTCAGCACCTGGTGCGGCGAACAGCTCCGCGCTTCATTCCTCTGACCCCACCTCCCTCGTGCCGCCGAAGCCAATGGTGACCCGGGCCCCGCCCAGGAGGCTGTCCATTGGGGTGTCGTTCCATCTCCCTCCGGCCCCTCCCTCTGGTTCCTGGGTCTCTCCTTCAAGACCACATCCCCAAGAGACTGCCGGAGTTTCGCACAGGCTTCTGGGACTTGTAGTTCTTTAAGGACGCGGAGTGGGCTCACGCCGCGGGCAGGCAAACAGAGCGGGACTGCATTTCCCAGGGTGCACTGAAGACACAGAGGCGCGGAGCAGGGCGGGAGGACGGTTTCCATAGCAAAGACTACCCGCCGGGGATGGCTGGCGGAGAAGTAGGGCAGGCTGCAGGACCCTCGAAGGATCGTGTGAGACCCCGGGCAACCTCTTGGGAGGCAATTTCGAGGAGAAAACGTCGATTTCTGCCTCGGGACCCTGGGCCTCAGTTGTACTATTTTGGAAGAAGGGCAAAGAGCTGTGCCCCCGACCACACCCGTCGGTGATGGGCAAGCCGCTTTGGTTCCTGCCCAGCAAAGGTGAGGGAGGATGCAGGAGACTCTCCCACCGCATTCAGAACTGTATTCCTTTATTTTTGTCTCGACCTTGTCACAGAGGAGCGCTTCACTTTTGGTTATCTCTTGGGCCACCAGGGCCTTCCTATCTCCGTCTTCCCATCGCGAGTCCTGGCCTCCTTCACACCATCCCTGGATACAGCGGCGTCTCCCCCAGCGCAGCAGGAGGGCGCTTCACATGTCCCCGGAACTAAGCCCACTCTCCCCAGCATGGCTGTAAAGGCCCTTCAAGATCCGGACTCCACCTTTTTGCAACACTCTTAACTTCTTTGGAAGCTACTTACTTGGGCCCCTCCACCCTGCCCTCAGCTAACTCCTCAGAAAGCCCTAGCCTAGACACCGCCTGTTTGGGAAGACTTCCTAGATGCTGGGCTCTCTGTTGAGTGCCCCACCCTGTGTTTGAGCAGCACCCTCTACTTCCCCTATTCTACTTGCATGTTCATGTACTTGTCTTCTTTATAAGATCTACAAAGGCGGAGCTATGTCTGTATTATTCATACTTACAATCCAGTGTCTATAGCATCTGGCACATAGTAGACACTCACTAGCTATCGAGATATAAATATAGATATTTGTTGAACTGAAAATGAATTGGGCCAGGCACGGCAGCTCCCGCCTGTAATCTCAGCACTTTGGAAGGCCGAAGAGGGCGGATCACCTAAGGCCAGGAGTTCGAGACCAGCCTGGCTAACATGGTGAAAGCTGTCTCTACTAAAAATACAAAAAATTAGCTAGGCGTGGTGGTGTGTGCTGGTAATCCCAGCTATTCAGGAGACTGAGGCGGGAGAATCGCTTGAAGTTGCAGTGAGCGGAGATTGTACCACTGCACTCCAGCCTGGGTAACAGAGGGAGACCCTGTCTTAAAGAGAAAGAAAAAGGATAAAATTGAAAAAAATAAAGGAGCCTCATTCACATACACCTCCAAAATTCTGATTTCCTAAACTTGGGCATTTCTCATTGCTGGAAGTGTTCAATTACAGGGATGCCACCCCCTTGAAGAAATGTTTATTTGTACAGAGGGTTGGGATTTTACTTGAAGGCTTTGAGTACTCTTTAATCCTATGATGCTAGAGATTGATGGACTCATGCCTATTATTCCTGTCAGTTCTCCCTGAAATGTCATCAATTCTTCATGTTCCTCTATTTCTAGTTGTTGGCCCAACTCCTTTCTGTGCCTAAATGCCCTACCTCCCACTCCTTTTCTGAAAAAGATTTGCTCTGTCAGTTATGAAGTACAGATGTCCTAAGATTCCTGCTCTTTATTCCTTCCTTCCTCTTTGTTTTCTTTCTTTTCTCTTTTTTTTCTTTCTTATTGGACAATGCCAAGTGTATGATAAAATATATTGTTTGCCAAGAAGAATGATGGCAAGGAAAACCTAGCCACCCCCCTCCCCAAGCGGAAAACTACTTGGGGCATTCTAAAGTAGCAAAACAGTATATATGTATCATACACAGATTGAAACAATTCTTTAACCACGGGATATGTGACCCTGCCCCCATGGCTTCCTCGTGGGGAATACTTGCTAGTTGGTCCTTGATCAGTGGTAGGCAGGCACCAGCTGCCTATCTAGTTTATCTTGGTTCTATGAGAAAACACAGAACACCTGTTTGTTAATAATATTCACCTGCTCAGAGAGAATAAATACGTGGGTCAGAATTTGCCCGAGGCCCTCAGTCTGGAATGTTGTCAGCCTCTGAGGCTCTCAGCTGGAAAGGTTGTTCCCACTTTGCTGTCCTATCTGGGTGTTTGCTCCTTAATTCCTTCAGTGCTGCCTGGGTTGGGGGTCTCTATGGCAGAGCTGGTCTCGGTATTCCCTGCCTTCCTCCCTCCCACCGTTTTTTCCCCCCTTTCTTCCTTCTTTCCTTGTGTTTCTGTCTTTTTTCTTTGTCTTTTCTGTTGTCTTTCTTCTTTTTTTTTTGAGATGGAGTTTCATTCTTGTTGCCCAGGCCATAGGTGCAATGGTACGATCACAGCTCATTGCAACTTATGCCTTCCAGGCCTGCCTCAGCCTCCGAAAGTGTGGGATTACAGGCATGATCCACCATGCCTGGCCTCCTGCTCTTCTTTCAACCCTCTGCTCAGCATCTTGGGCCTCATTGGTGATGAGGTGCCTTGTAGGTAGCATCTTTCCTGAATATTTCTCTACTAAATATTCTGGTGTTGGCTAGATGGTCTAGTTCATCTACACATTTCATTTATCACCTTCTCCAGATGTTTTTTGTTTATGTCAGCCAATACATTCTAGGGAGAATGCCTTAATATATGGGAATAATTAACTCGTGGCCAAGAAGGAAGTAACCAAGGGGATGTTTGCTATGAACCTAATTCAAACCAAAGAGACAGAGCCTGAGAGAAAGCAACTCTGTCATCCTTGAGTTGGTAACATCCAGGAAGGGAAGGCTAGGGTGGGGGAGTGAGTAAAACAGATGGCATTTAGGGAAGAACCAACAGGACTTTAAGAGTCATGGCAGAGGGGATTTGATCCTGGCTAAACCATCAGGGAAGGCAGTTGGAGCTGGATGAACAGATGGGGCCTTATTACTGAAGAGAAAACTGTAAGGAGGCAGGGGGAAGTCAGATGTGTGCTAAAGCAGAGTGCCTCATTCAGTGGATGCACTGAGAGCAGAGGCTGATGGAAAAGTGGATCAAGGGAGGACGATGCCCCAGGTGGGCATCAGCAGACTATCAGCTGAGTATCGCAGAGGGATACCAAAGAAGTCCACCTGGAGTCAGAGCTGAAACCCTTCGGAGGTTAGTTTACCCCTTCAGAAGTAGTGTACCACCATCCATCTACCACTGGAATCCAATTTCAGTTTTAGCAAATTATTATAAATTGGAAAAAGTTAGGGTTCCACAATTCTGTTAGCACTCAGAGACTATAACAACGTTTGCCCAGCCAAGTAGAGTTAGAAAACCTGGATCCTAATCCTGACTTTGCCTCTGATTAGATGTGTGACCCTGGACTGAACCTGTTTCTTCAGTTGTAAAATGCTGTTTATTGGTGTTAGGTAGCAGCTAATAAGGGTGGAGGTGGGGTGTGGTGGTTAACACCTGTGATCTCAGCAACTGGACAGGCCAAGGCAGGAGGACTGCTTGAGACCAGCCTGGGCTACATAGTGAGACTCTGCCTCTACCAAAAATTTACAAAAATTAACATTGTGCAGTGGTGCATGCCTGTAGTCCCAGCTACTCGGGAGGTTGGGGTGGGAGGATTGCTTGATCCCGGGAGTTCAAGGCTACAGTGAACTATGATCAATCACACCACTGCATTCTAGTAGCCTAAGTGATAGAGCAAGACCCTGTCTCATAAAAAAAGAATTTTTTTTAAATGGTGGAGGTAGGGAAATTCAAAGCTACTTACTAGCTGTGTGACTTTGCCTAAACTACCTTCTTGGATTTGTAGTCTGTTTATTTGAAAATACCATAAGGGATAAATGAGGTACTTTATGTAAAATACTTTATAAATATTAAGCACTTACCAAATATTAGTCTGTTTTCACATTATTCTTTTTGGATTACCAGAAATTGGTTTGACTATGAATAAACAGGCAGGAGGTAATTTCTTGGGTAATCTGAGTTTGAATCCCCTTCTCTCCCTTACTAATGGTATGACTTTGCTTAGATTATTTAATATTTAATTGTTCTAGGTCTCAGTTTTCTCATTAGTGAAATTAAAATGATGTTTTCCACAGAATTGTGAGGGTCCAATGAAATAAAAGGCCTGACTCATATGAGAAAATGCTCAATATATTTGTTTTGTCATTTTTAAGGGGTGGTTTTAGGGCACAGAACCCTAAAGGAATGAATGGAATTGCAAATGCTTAGAAGCTAGAGTTGTGAAAGATTTCAGGGGAGCACTGTGCTAGGCTTCTCCCTTCTTCATGGGAAAGAAAAGATCTCAGTGAAGTTCCATGGGTCTTCTCAGTAAGTAAAGAGAAGATTAACTAGAATGCTGAATCTCAGACACTGAGGGGTTAGAGTGATTGACCAGGGCTGGGTCCTGAAGAGCTTGGTATTCTGGGCTGAGAATGATGGCAAGGAGGAGGGATGGCATACAGAGCCCTCTGACATGAGAGTCACATAAACCAAGATATTGGGGTGCTAAGGAAAAGCTCTCTTGCCTAAGATAGGTAGGGTGAGGAGGAAGCAAGGCAATGAGCTTTCTCATACATTTTCTTTGCTTTTTCTTTTTTTGAGATGGGGTCTCACTCTGTCACCCAGGCTGGAGTGCAGTGGTACAATCTTGGCTCACTGCAGCCTCTGCCTCTCAGGTTCCAGCAATTCGCCCACCTCAGCCACCTGAGTAGCTGGGATTACAGGGGTGCACCAGCACACCTGGCTAATTTGTGTGTGTGTGTATGGTTTTTAATTTTTTAACCAGGAATACATGCATGTTATTGAAAGCCACTGTAGAAAAGTGTATGAGGATACAGGACTCAGCTTGGGGGCAGGGCAAGGAATGGAAGGTGGAGTATGTAGGAAACAGGTCATGGGCAGAGCTCCTGGCCGGGATGATTCCTCTTGATCTATTGATAGACTTATTGATAGACTTACAAGGTCAATACTGGGATGATGATAAGCAGAATGGTCATGAAGATGCCCAAAATCAGGGCCCAGATGTTCAGGCACTTGTCGGTAGAGGCATAGGCCTGGGCCCCGGTCAGGTCACCAACCATCTTCCTGTCCCTAGATTTGATGGAGTAGGTGAATGCTATGAAGCCCAGGCAGCAGAAGTTCATGAAGAGGGCATTGAATTGGGACCAGACGACATGGTCGGGCATGGAGGTCTCACTGCAGATGTGGATCATGGTAGATGTTGGGGGAGCCAGGTTATGGGGGGGTGCCCACTGCACATCTACTTCATGCTCCTCCTTCAGCATCTCATAGTTGGGGGGACAGTCAGTGTTGGCAGGAGTGAAGTAGGTTTGGACTGTGGTTCATTGTGTCCAGGGAAAACCAGCTGTGGTCGGGTTGCTGGGATGGTTTTCAGTGGGCCCTCCCTTTCCCCACTAGTTTTGGTTTCTCTAATTTTTGTATTTTTAGTAGAGACAGGGAATCACCACGCTGGCCAGGCTGGTCTTGAACTCCTGACCTCAGGTGATCCACCTGCCTCGGCCTCCCAAAGTGCTGGGATTATAGGTGTGAGTCACCGTGCCTGGCCTCTCATACATTTTCACAGAAGTCTTATGTCAACATCAACTACACATGATCAGTTTTGTACATACCTAAAAGGCAGAATGTCAGAATAAAATTAGCCAAACCAAAAAGTGTCTCCAGATTTCATGGTAAAGTTGTATCAACCAAGTTCAACAGTAGTGATTCCTGTAATTTATATTTTGTTATAGTTGGTAGATTGAAGTATGTGCATATCAACTGGAAAATATGTTTCAGCAACAAATTTGAATATTTTTTGCAAATTTTATTTCTTAGCAACGATTTGTTTTCTCAGTTTAGAACATAAATTAGAGAACTTGTGTTGATTTATTTTTTTCCAAATGTAGAGAGCTTAGAGCTTAATTCATGCCTTTGAAATGCCATGAATTTGAAATGCAGCCATTTTCCTCTCTGCATCCTTGAAAGGGATTACAAGGATTTTATTAGTTTTTCAAATAATCTTGCCAGCAGATTTAGACTTCCCACGAGGGTCTCCTGTCAATAATGCTGGATTGTGAGTGATGTTGCTGAAGTGCTGTGCGTGGGATATTTAAGACAAGTCAAATAAGCAGCCAACTTTAGGATTTCCCAAGCAGGAGCTCAGTTTGCAATTACAGGACTTGGTATAGAATATGAAACGGGCATCTAAATGTTAATTAAGAAAAACAATCTCCATAATGTCTAAAGAAAAAAGGACAAAATCAGTTAATTGCTTTGAGCGATCCCTATCATTGAAAAAATGTTATTTTAAAATATTTTCGTATGGTTGATATGTCTTTGTAATCTTGAAACAGGCCTGCTATTCCAGCCCCTTGAAGTGGGGTTGGGGGCAGCTCAGAATATGTTCTGGGAATCAATTCACAAATGTTATGATAATTTGATCAATGTTTAAAATTCTTCCTTTTTATCCTAAACTTTCATAAAATATTCTTACAAGAGGGGTGACTCTTCTAAAACCCAAATCAGATCATGTCACACTTCTGCTCTTAGCAGCTTTTCTGTGTCATTGAGAGCAAACCCTAAAGTCCTTATGGTGGCCTACAGGGCATGGACTTTGACTCTTGTAGCCTCACTGACTCCTCCTCTAGACTCTTTCTGCTCCAGTACCTTGATCTTCTTTGATTGCGCCAAACTCTCTGGCCTCAGTGCCTTTTTACTTGCTGTTTTCTTCGCTTGGAAGCTCTTTCCCCAAATATGCTCATGACCATCCTATAAAATGGCACCCTTTTGTCTCTTGACACTCTCTATCACCCTTGCCTGATTTTTTTTTTTTTTTTTTTTGGTCAGTAGCACTTGTCACCATCTGATATATACATTCTCTTATTTTTTTTATTGTCTGTCTCTATGCACTCCCAACTCTTCAGTGACCCAGTATAATAAGCTCTCCATCAGGGTAGAGATTTTTTCTTTGTTCACTGCAATACTCACAGCATGTAGAATAGTATCTGGTACATAAAAAGTACTCAGCAAAACACTTTGAATAAGAATAACAGCACATCCTCCCCAATACTTTTTTTTTTTTTTGAGACAGTCTCCCTTTGTTGCCCAGGCTGGAGTACAGTGGTACTATCTTGGCTCACTGCAACCTCTACCTCCTGGGTTCAAGTGATTCTTGTGCCTCAGCCTCCAGAGGAGCTCGTGTTATAGGCACCTGCCACCACGCCCAGCTAACTTTTGTATTTTCAGTAGAGACGAGTTTCACTATGTTGGCAAGACGGCTCTCAAACTCCTGATCTCAAGTGGATCACAGGCGTGAGCCACCACACCCCACATTGCTTTTAAAAAGGGTAGTACCCATTTTACCTAAACACCAGTATGAATGAATGTTTCAGCTTTATTGCAGCCTTACCAACATTGGGCATTACATTCAGTTTTTCCTAATGTAGAGTATAAAATGATCCTTCCTTTTATTTTGATGTGTAATTAATGTCTAGTAAGGATGCACCTTTTTCTTTTCTTTCTTTCTTTTTTTTTTTTGGTCATCAGTTCAGTAGGTAGCTGGGAGGCTCTTGGAAGGCCAGTGTCCTTCCTTGTAGATTGTGCCCAATGTTTAGCACATAGCGGAAGCTTATCATAATATCTTAGAGTTGGAAGGGCCTACATTCATTATCTAGTTCAACTAAAATTTTGGACAGATGGCTTTCCGGCCTCTGCTTACACACCCCTGGTAATGACCTTGACACCTCATGGGACAGCTTGTCCAGTCTTTGCCCTGCACTTCAGGTGTTGAGCTGGCACTTTCCCCTGTGGTTTTCTTTTCTTCTTCTTCTTTTTTTTTTTTTTTTGAGACAGAATCTCACTCTGTCGCCCAGGCTAGAGTGCAATGGCGCGATCTCTGCTCACTGCAACCTCTGCCTCCTGGGTTCAAGTGATTTTCCTGCCTCAGCCTCCCAAGTAGCTGAGATTACAGATGTGTACCACCACACCTGGCTAATTGTTATATTTTTTGTAGAGATGAGGTTTCACCATATTGGCCAGTCTGTCTCGAACTCCTGACCTCAGGTGACCCACCTGCCTCAGCCTGGCCTATCCCCTGTGGCTTTCATGTGACCTGGTTCTGCCCTCAGGAGCAGCAAGGGCCACGCATCAAGTGTTACGGAACCTCCTCCACCATGACTGCCTATCTCAGCAAATATGTGGCCAGCCTAGAATGTTGAACCTCAGGTGAAGTCTAGCAGGCCCAGAGGCCAGGACCCTGTTCCAGCCATAAGACTTCACAGTGGCCGAGTCAGCAGCCTCTCCAGCTGGGTTCATGTGAAGCTTATGGTAAGCTGAGATTCTGAGATCTTGATGTGACTTGCAGCCAAATGTAGTTCCTCTTATCCTACATGCCTGCAGTTTTGTTGTTTTTTTTTTAACCTGAAAGCAAGACTTTGGTTTTTTCCCTAATTTATTTCAACCGGCTTGTAGAGACGCTGCCCTGGCCCCCCTCCTCCTATCTGAAAAGGAAATAAGAGTCATCCTGACAGCTTCACATGTAGGTGTGATGATTGACTGTGAGATGCAAGTTTAGACATGTGTCACTCATTTTGGTTGCCTGACATCTGAGCCTCCTTTCTGTGCTTGAGGAATTCCATGTGTCATGAGGTAGAGCCATATTCCTTTGCACCTAGGGCATGGGCACTGGCCTGAGGCTCAGGCTTCTCTGGCCTGACAAACCATACCTGCTATTGGCTCCCTTCATCAATTTTGAGTTGGAAGCACAAGACAGCAAAGGGGCAGGGCCTGCTTAGCAACCCTTTTAGTGATTCGATGGGTATGATCTCAGTTACCAGTGACAACAGTTTTATGGGTAACATCCAGCATGGGCTTGTCTATGGTGTGGGTCAGGGGAACAATATTCCAGCCTTGGTGGTCACAATAATGTCTTCTTAGATCAGTGCTGAGTTGGAACTTTGGGCATTGTTCCTGACTGTGTGATTCCAAGCCTGGTTCATGTAGCCTACTGGAGACTTTATGAGCTACTCGCTATCTTTTTTCCTTTTTTTTCTACTCACTATCTTTTAAATAAATTCCTTTGCTATGCACCACAGCCAAAGGTATTTTTGCTTGCAACTAAAAATCCTAACCAATATGTACAGGATATGAAGAGTGCATTGAAAAGTGCTAAGCACTACATGAGAGAAGATATTGTTTGAGATTTTCATTCTTAAGTAGTAAGGGTGAGGGCACTGGGAGGGATAGGCTTGAGTTCCATACCTGCTGAGAGTTCAGACAGGTCTAGCATGCCCGGAGAGCTGGTTGAGGGAGGGTGGGATAGAAAGAACTTTGGGACTGGACATTGGCTTGACAGTTAAAGGCTGGTCATTGATCCTAAAGCAGGTGTGAGCAGAGCCACATGAGCTTGATGTGGGGATGGCAGAGGCCAGAGGGTTTGCTGCACACACAAGCAGATTGGGTGCCTGCCTGTCTGACCCTTGGACCATTACCAACAGTCAGGGCTGGGAAGTAGGGCTAGGATATAAGCAGGTCATCTGGGGATTTGCAGCTGCCTGTAGGGCGTTCTCACAGAGGGTGGAAAAGAACACCTGCTTGGATATGCCTTCCGCCCCTGGAACCCAGAAGCCATCCTGGGTGAGTTGGGATTCAATTCTTTGCTTCCCTCAGGCTGACACCTGGGTCCATCAGTGCTGTGGGCTGAGGCCGGCACTGTTACCTGGTCAGGAGAGTTACTTGCAATAAGTAACCTTATTACAAGCAGGTTGAAATAAATTAGGGGAAAATCCAGAGTCTTGCTTTCAGGTTAAAAAGGAAACAAACTGCTGGGGAGTGTGTGTTTGGGCTGGTGGATATTCTTGCCTTAAGGCATTCCCTGATCCCAGTGTACACCGCACACTGGTATGGCCAGATACCTGCCTTTGCCCAGTACCCTGGCACACCTGCAGGGAGGCCTGAGATCACATGTGTCCAAAGCAGCAAGGGGTCATGTATTGGGGTTGGACCACAGTCATTTCAGAAATATGGTAGCATCGTTCAGAGGGATCCTCATAGGGAACTGTAGGTTCTGTTTGGTCTCTGTGACTGATTGGTTTTTGTTATGTTAAGAGCACAACTACAGATTTTAATTTTCTTGGCAAATATGTCTATAATATTGTTTTGATACCAATTAAAATAAAACCCATTACAAAAACAACAGAGAGTATGCATTCTTAAGCATCATCTGATCAATAGCCTTTCAGTGCCTAAGTTACTTTGTGTCAGGCAGTGCTCCAACATTTTATGTACTTTCTATTATTTAATCTTAGCCACAACACTGTGAACTAGGTACCATTATATAAGAATTCCCGGTTGGGCAGGATGGCTCATGCCTGTAATTCTAGCACTTTGGGAGGCCGAGGCAGGCAGATCACTTAAAGTTTCGAGTTCAAGACCAGCCTGATCAACATGGAGAAACCCCCTCTCTACTAAAAATACAAAATTAGCAGGGCATGGTGGCACATGCCTATAATCTCAGCTACTTGGGAGACTGAGGCAGGAGAATTGCTTGAACCCGGGAGACAGAGGTTGTGGTGAGCCGAGATCACGTCATTGCACTCCAGCCTGGCAACAAGAGCAAAACTCCGTCTCAAAAAAAAAACACACACACACACATACACACAGAATTCCCCATTTTACAAGGAAACTGATGCCCACAGGGTTACAGGACTAGTCCAAGGTCATATAGCCATTAAATGTCTGTTTATCTACCCTCAGAGACTGAAAACTGCTCTTCCATCAGCCCATTCCACTGTGGGGAGGCTCTAGTTTTTGAAATGCTTTTCCTCACATGGAACTAAAATTTGCTTCTCCCTGTCAGTCCCACTCCTGTTTCTGCTTGTCCTAGTAGCCCATCATGGCAGCTCCTGGTCTCCCATTCTCTGGCTTGGTTCTCTACCCCATTTGTTCCTGGGGGTACTTCAACTTCTTCCTTTAGGAACTTCTGAACCATTTTGTACAGCTAAGTCCTTGGAAGAATCACTACAGGTAGCGCTCCAATTCTTTGTTTGACTCCCAAGGTTCTGTTATCCAGGCAAGGGCATGGCAAGAAATCATCAACCTGACCACAAACTTTTGAAGGGGATTGGTAGAAAGTTCCCTTTCCCCAAGGAAAATGGCAAGAAAACAAAACAGCAGAAACAGCACTACTACTACTATGCTAAGAATTATATTACTGAATGGGAATATTCTGTTTCCTCCTCGGACTAGAATGCAAGCTTCCTGACAGTAGAAAGTTTTGCTAATTTTGTTTACTGCTGAGTTCCCAGTGCCTAGGGCATAGTAAACATTGAACTACTTGTTGAATGAGTTAACAGTACAGTCCCACATCTGGTGCTACTTCCTTGGGTTATTAAGTTGTTTGGGGGGCATAATGTGCTCTCCCAAGTTCTTGGCTTTGAATTTTGTTTCCCTTTATCTTACTAGCTGTTTTTCTAATTTTTGTGTGATTTTGATTCATAAGAAGATAGCCTTAACAATATGTAAAGTACATTGAATAAATAGCTCTGCCTCTAAAGCAATTTCATCTGATCATGTAACCCTAAGTATAAATCTGAATTTGATTCAGCCTGATAAAGAGCAATATGCATGAGTTATTGCATTTCTAGCCTCCTGTTCTACCGAAAGACATTCTGTGACTTTCTGCTTTGAATTTTGAATTTGAATTCAAAATGAAAAATTATTAGGAAACAGCTAGGCAAGAGGAACATAGTCTTTACTTTTTTTTTTTTTTTTTTGAGACAGAATCTCGTTCTATCTCCCAGGCTGGAGTGCAGTGGTACAATCTCAGCTTACTGCAGCCTCGGCTTCCCAGGTTTAAGCAAACTCCACCTCCTGGGTTCAAGTGGTTCTCCTGCCTCAGCCTCCCAAGTAGCTGGGATTATAGGTGTGTGCCACCATGCCTGGCTAATTTTTGTATTTTTAGTAGAGACGGGTTTTCACCATGTTGACTTGGCTGGTCTTGAACTCCTGACCTCAGTGATCCGCCTGCCTTGGCCTCCCAAAGTGCTTGGATTACAGGTGTGAGACACTACATCCAGCCCAGAATATTCATCTTACTATCAAAATAATTATTTTCAAGAAAAATCTTTTAAGTGAAGTTGATATCCAGTGTGCTCAGTGCACAGAGACTTTGTGAGTATGTTGGTTGAATAAATGTTGTTCACCCCCATTTCTGGGATGTTCTTGCTCAGGCCCTAGCAGGTCTAAAAAGGCATAGTGAGCCCACTAGCCTGGGAGATAAATAAATTAATATTTAGTGGGCACCACCTATATACCAGGTAACATGCCAGGTGTTTTACCTACATAGCCTCAGTTTAATCTTTATACTCTGCAAAGCAAGGTATAAACAAGAAATAGGAGAATTATAGAAATTAGGAGACTTTCTTAAGGTCTGGAATAGGATAGAACCAAGATAAGAATCCTTTCTTGTCTGAGGCTCTGCTCTCCATATATACCATGTAACCACCTCCTGAGACCAGTTTACTCACAATTTTCTTAGAGACTGCATGGGGAATATGGCCCACTTCTGTGTCCTAGGAGCATGAAAGAAACTCCTCATGTCTGTCTTCTTTATTGAAGGCTGAAAGGGCAAGGATCATAGGACTCAACTGTGGGCACAGGAAGGCAGTATCTTGGAGGGTCTGGAGCATCCCTCATTCCCCAAGTGGGTCAAGCAGGCAGAGGAAGAGGAATGAACTCTGGTGAGCAAGAGTAGGTTGTCGGATCCAAAACTCTCTATTGCAACTTAATCTTCAGTGTAACAATATTAAGAGGTGGAGGCTTTAAGACATGACTGGGTTATGAGGACTCTGGATTAATGGGTTAACAGATTAATTGATTAATGTTATAAAAGCCAGTTTGGCTCTCAGTGCACCCCTCTTGCCCTGTGATGCCTTCTGCCATGTTGTGACACATCACAAGGCCCTCACCAGAAGGTGACCAGATGTGGCTTCCTGTTCTTGGACTTACCAGCCTCCAAAACTGTAAGAAATACATTCTTTTCTTTATAAGTTACCCAGTTTCAGGTATTCAGTTATAGCAATAGAAAATGGGACTAAGACAGAGCCCTGTCCCCATCTCCGGCAGGAATTTTCCTGCATAGAGCCTGGAGCCTAAGCCAGTAGACTGGAACCTCAAGTGAAGCTGGAATGGGGGCTGAGACTGCCCTGATTGTTCTCTTAAGTCAGGAAATCAGCCTGTCCTCTTTGAGCCTTGGCCTTCAGTACTGCCTGGATGATGAAGTCATCCCAGCTCCACCCCAGGTGTGCATCTTAAGCTCCTAGGCACATGCAGACCTCCACCAAGTTGGCCTAGCAAATCAGGGCCAATGAGCTCAGCTCCCACCCTGAGAACCAGAGCTTTAGAAGGTGACTTCATTACTCCCTACTGTACCATTAAAGTGACTACCCCATCATAGTCTGAAGCCTCTCTCCTTTCTACTGCCACCCATGCCTCTTCCTTGAGCTCCCTGGGCCCCCTTTCCCCTGGATCCCTTGGGCAGTGAGTTTCGTCGTCTGTAGAGTAAGGAATGGATAGAGGTGGGGGCTGCATCATCCTCATTCTGCAAGTCTCATCTTTCTTCTCCATTTGTGGACCAGATTCTCCTGGAGGACCCACAGCTCATTCAAACTTCGTAAGATCCCTATCCTCAAATTCTCAAGCTGTCCAGTTCCCAGGACCTTGTGAGACCAAATCTGTGGTCCTGTCTGCAGTTTGCATGCCCCCGCTGGCCTGGCTTTCCCACGGCCTCTGTCTTGGCCCTTTTCTGGCCCACACTCCACTTTGTTTCTCGAGAACTTTCCAGTTTGCTTCTGGAGGACTTTCTAACCCTTCTCCCCTAGCAGGCCTTGCAGCTAGGCATATAGGCATAAAGTGTAATGTCCCTCCCAAGTCCAAGTAGACCCTTACTTCTCATTGTATAAGGGGTATGTGACTTTTTTTTTTTGTCTCCAAACAGTGTTTTCTGAGCTGTGGGACCCTAAGGTACACTGGTCTTGAGACATGTCTGCTGATTTGACCCCAATCTGTAGTGCCACAACTATACCCACCTTGGTTCTGTCCTGCCTCACTGCTGCCCACTCATGGTGCAGCCCTGTGGGCTGAAAAGCTGCTGGTTTAGATTTCTTCACTGACCTTTGTCTAGTTCTTGTCCCAGAATCTTCAGGGGCAGCTGGACACCCACACCGTTACTGCTGGCTGTACCTTGGCCTGCTCCATGAGGAAAGGGATGCCCTTACCATGTTATTACAG